AAATGAAAATAAAAAAACAAAAAAAACAGAGTGTTTCTGATTCAATGTTTTTGCACAATTAAATAGTTTTAAATTAATGTTTGTTCAGGTTTGACTATTGCTTGAGACTTCTGCTGAAACTAAGCACACAGCTTTGGAGTAACAGAAAAAAAGAAAGGAAGAAAGAAAGAAAATCAGCGTTACCAGATATACGAGGACACACATGTGCTCCTTGGGCAGCCAGTGGAAGAGGTCAGCTGGGTTGGTGGGTAAAATCTCATCATCTTGGAGTGTAGAGATAGTCTGAATGCACTGCTGCAGCTGCTTCAGACACGGCTTCACGCTTTTTACCTGAAAAAGAAAAGAAAAAAGAAAAGCAATGTAGTCACTCCTGTCAACTTTTACACATCCATCCTCATCCCGCTTTAGAAATCTAAAAAAAAAATAACTTCGTCATCACCCATCCTACCTGTCCAGCATCCAGGTAGTGTGTGACTTGTAGTACCAGGAAGAAGACTCTCAGCGATTCCTTCTGGATGGGGTTTCCCTGCCAGTTTTCTACTATAGTTCCACACAGTGTGAGAAGAGGATGCACCTCGCCAAGCTTCCTCTCCATTAGCAGCAACTGGAAGGTTAGAAAACATCCCCAGGTCAAAACGAATTACTAAAACAGTTAACGCCGGGTTTCCTCGTGGCAGATGTAGAAAAAAAAAAAAAAGATATGAAGACATGAAGATAAAACTTAGCTACAGAGAAGAGAAAAATAGAGAGAGAAAACTTACCATGCCTTTACTAAGAAGAAACAAAGCCCTAAAAAAGTGCAAAAAGTAAAATTAAGTCAACGTTCACATCAAATTATTACAGATAAATACCATGTAATCTTAATTGTTAGATACAAATCTCAACTAATAAGAGTTCCAAGCACAAATAAAAGCCTTATTTAATAAGAAAACAGGATATTTGTAATCTTAGTACATTTAAAATTAAAATCAATTTACTGATTTGTTTGCAGTGGAAACTTGTCCGGCAATAAAGTAGTAGCTTCATTTTCCACACATTTCGGTTGCGCCATGTTGTAAAATTATATGTAGTATGTTATATTTATTTAAGTTTTACATAGTCACATTTAAAAGTCTATTCGCATCAGCTTCACATACATTAAAAATAAAACCTAAAAACAGCCTGAAGAGGTTTCCCCCTTAATTATTTAGTGTGCAATAGCCAATACATAACAAATTCAGGTGAAGCGAATCACACAAGTAGAGCAGTTGGAGTTGCAGCAAAGAGTTACTTTTCGTCAACGGGACAAAATGATCATTTTGGTTTAGGTATCCTATAATAGTCACACCCCTCCCCCCCTATGTCATCCAGGTAACGCTTTAAACATGCAAACTGCAAATGACAGAGATGTTTACCTGGTATATTCTGAACCCACGACTCGGGCATACTCAGCCCCAACTCCCAGAAGGTCACATGCTGACACCAGGTCTTTCTCCAGAGTATGAAGTTGCTGAAAAGAGATAAGAAAACAACCTTAACATCTCAATACAGGCAACTATTAACTTTCAAGCAACTAGAATCCAAATGCAGCAAGTCTAACTCTGTTCTCCAACTAAAACAAAAGAAATAATAATAATATATAAAAAAAGAGACAAAGCAAGAATAAATCTGATAATTTTAATATTCCGTGGCCCTGATCGGCGACAGGCAGGTCAGACACAGTTAGTGAATGCACCAAAACACAGGTGCTAACAGGTCACATTGACAACAACACAATTGTTGATGAGAGAAAAAGAGTAAGCTATCTTTTGAGTCTTTGACGTTCCTAAAGGTAATGCTAGCGGAATCACATATTGGTAAGACACATCCACACAGCAAATCATAGTTTATATTTAAGTTCATATAAGTTAGTTTTATATCTCTGTACAGTCCTATTTAACTTCAGAAGTATGTAACCCACCCCACGCAGTGTGACACTGTCTCATTTGATAATGGGAATAATTAATGCCAAACCCACCCCGACCAAAAAAACATTACTGATGGCTTCTTTTGGATTTACCATGAATTAATGTTGTATTTTTTTGTGACGTACAGAGAGTTTGGTATTTTCAAACCATTCTTGAGAAAACCATTGTTTTAGTTTATGTAAACTAACTTATGTAAACTTGTGTTGCACACTTAAAAATCAAATTAAAATTAGTCTATGTAGTTGTTTTTTTTAACCAAAATACCACACATCAACACATCTTGTGAAACTTCTTTATAGCTTAGCAAGCATTAGGTACATTACTGCCGCCTACTGGGTTGGAGGGTGTACATGTGTACCAACAGTGGGCCAGAAATGCGGCAACTGAGAAAGGTACAATGTGATTTGTTTTGAGTGCTTGCTTTATTAAGAGCATATGTGAGTAATATAAACATTTTCATGTTAAGACGGATCAATTTGCTATTTATATGAACCAGCAAAAGTAGAATCGGACTATCAGCTGCATTAGCATGTGAAATAAAAAAAAGATGGTGATAAGAAATCGGCCACAAAAACTGCGATCAGTGCATTTTCAATAGGAAAACTTTAATACCACTTAAGTAATACATACCGCTAACTGGAACAGCAGTCTGCAGTGCCAGTATGGTGTTTGCTGGGAAATCTGAATGGCTTTACGCAGCAGGGGCTTTGCAGAGTCCACCAAATTCTGAAAATGTATTACATGCGGGCAGTTAGCAGTTCATAATAACACCCCCTCAAATATAACAATCATTTGTGAATGTCTTTGAAAAGCACAAGTATGGCTCGACTCTTATTTCTGTTTACCATAATAGTATCTTAGTAAGTCTTTATATGTTTTACCTGTTGGCAAAATAGTTCCGACAGAATACTCGCAGCTTCAAATTTGACATCTTCGAACTGAGGAAGTTGTTGAGATATAAACCACTGCAAAAAAGGAGACAAAATATTGTCAACCAACATTCTGGGCGTAAATATTTGACCAGCAGTTTATTTGGTAAAAACCAGCGCGTGAGCGTAAAGTGGTTGAACAGGGTTTAAACAACGACACACTTTGTACCAAAATTATTTGAACACGTATCAGAACCTCTTTTCTAATGTAACCTTCTTGAATGAATAGCTATTTAAACACTTCCGCCGTTCGGTGTTTTCACTGCCCGCGGCCTACACTCCCTCCGCTTCTCTGCAGCATCCCCGCTCTTTCCCAGATCAAACGCCCCTCACCGCTTTCTCTAGGTGGCTGCGGGCCAGCTCGCTGTTCTTGGTGTGATGGTAGAGAACCGAGCCCAGCTGGAGATGCGTCCGAGCTTCGATCCTCTGCGGAGGCTTGAACTGAAACACGGCCTGTAGACAGTGTACGCACAGCCGTATTTTCGGTGGACTGGAGGTTCGGAAATGTTCCGCAAAGCCGAGGAGGGCGAGGTACCAACGCTCCGGGGCCTCTACGTTTGACGCCATTTTCCCAGACAACAACAAGTTTTTCAGCGCTACGGCCAGAGCCGCGGGTTGCCAGGTTGGGCTAAACAGAGCAGACTACGATCGAAGTTGCTTTTTCCAGCTCCAAATTGTGAAGAAAAACTTTAGTTGTGTCCTTTTCAGTCATTTCAATTAAAAAATAGCGCAGGAAATGGTCAAATCCAATTTTATTATGAAAATATTTATTTTATTTAATACGCCCAACTACTATTTTAACAATATTATCCACATGTTTATGTTCCAATAGAGAAACGATGGTCTAAGTCCGTTTTCCAGTGGAGTTTTATTTTTTATTTTTTTGTAAGAAACAAATTGTGTTAATTTATCTTTTCTGAATTGGGGGTTGTACTAAATTAATAAAACGTGACATTGAGATGTCTTTCCGTATTGCAAAGATAAATTTGAACAAGAATCCCTTCCTCTTGTGCATGCATGTAAGTATTAATACTGTATTTCTTTATATGTGTGTACAAAAACAAAATGGCTACACAAGATGGCTGTATCTTGTAAATACTGCTCTTGTCCTTTCTTACTCCTGTTGTTCTTACTTACCTTACTTGCCACATAAGGTTATTCTGATGTTAATGACATCAAATGCAATTAATTTATGCTTTGCAATTTTTTTTTTCAGGATTATATTATTAAGGTTTAGTGCCAGAAAGTGAGAATCCATACAATTGCTCTAATATATTTTTGACAAGGAAAGTATTAATGCATGGCACCTAAAATATTACATTATACAGTCCTGCAGTCATTTATGATTTAATTATTGAATGCATGAACATGCAATAGTGATTGGGATTAAGCATAAACTGCAGTTCTGTTTGATGTTCTTAATGTGATTGTGTTCTGTAGATCCTAAAGGCAAGTAAAAAATTCTTGCAAAAAATTCAGAGTTTGCCAAATTATCCATAGGTTTACTTTCTAAAAGGCAGTTGTTTTTTGTGGTGATTAACTCTGCGAGTACTGAAGCTACTCTGTTCCAAAAAATATGAGTGCTAGGTTAATTGGTCTCTGAAAATTGTCTTTTAAGTGTGCTGTGTGTGTGCATAGCTGTTTGTCCAGTTTATCTTTGTGTTGCCCTGTGCTGACTGGTGACTTCTCCAGGGTGTACCCTGCCTCTCACCCAATTATTGTTATAGTTAGGCACCAGCCTGCCCTTGACCCTGCAAGGATAATAGGGTTTGGATAATGGATGGAGGTTCTAATTTAGCTCTTTCTAAAGTTTGACCCCAGAAAGAGAAACACACACACACACCTACACACACACACACAGGTGGGTAACTAGATGGGAGCAAAAAAATGGTGATAAGATTGCAAGTAAGAAGTACTAAGAAAAAAGGAAGAAAAAAATATTGCAAAATTATTTTATGAATATTTTCAAAATTTCAGAACAAACTGAGATAATATGGAAAACTAAAACAAACGGTTAATTAAAAGATTGATATGATAGCGTAATATATACCTGGCAACCCAATGTTGAGCATAATCTCGCGAGACTTTGCTTATGCGATGCTGTTTGCTCTTGGGTATTGTAGTCCAAAACAGTGGATTACGCCGTGTTCCCGTTCGCTCGGGGCTCGAGAGTCCAGAATAATCTTTCTGTGCACAGAATAGGAGAGAGGAGGGGGGAGAGGGAACACCTCCGAGTTGAACGTTGTCTGACTCACGTACCCTTACAAACAAACTGCAAGCTTTATTGACACTTTTCTTCGACTCAACTTGATAAAAGACGTCAACAACGCGAGGAGACGCGGGGACACATCGCGGCGCGTGTGCTGTGCAACTTAAAAGCTCGAGTGACGAGCCTTCTGTCGACAAACAGGAGACGTGCAGCACGGCAGAGCATTGTAGGATTTCAAGCGTCGACTATTTGTAAACACGGACTGCTGTGGGACAGTCAAGGTAAGCGTTCATGCGGGTTTTAATAACCAAAACAGATTTCACTGCAGAAAAGAAGAGTGTCTGTTTATTATTATTATTATTATTATTATTATTATTATTGGACAGCTGTGAATCGCAGTTCATTTATTTTACACGCGCCTACTAAGGTCTTGTATTTAAATGACAACCAGGGCACATGTAATCACTCATGCAAGATCGTTATGAATTTGGCTTTATGTAGACAAACCAACATTGGTTTGTATTCTCTGCACCGTGACACCCCGTTTGTTTACAAGGCAGACCATTCGTGTGGGGACATGGGCGTGAGAGAATGCACGTACTCGTTGTTCTGGTACGGAGGAACTCCGAGCAGCGAGGAGGATGTTGCCTCAAAACAGCAGCTTGGAGTATTTTTAACCCAATGTATGACATTTTCCCCTGCAGCTGTGGGGTTTTGTCCAGAAAGAGCACCGCGGGTGTGTGACAAGCCTTGGTAATCTAAGAAGGGGGCACCAATGGCCCACCGTGTGCACGAGCACCGCCAGGGCCGCATGCCTGTGGCCCAAACCACCGTGCTGACCCTCCCACCGTCCAGCCAAGCAAAGGTGAGCGTGCTGGGTGTGTTTCTCTCTTAGCCAGTGAGAATAAGGAAAGGGAAAACAATATTAAAACGTGACCAGACAGGTTGCTGCAGATGGGTGCGGAAAGGCATTTAAAATGTTCTGTTTTTACAATCACAAATGTGAATTAATTCTCTCCTGAAGTGTTAAACAGGAAGGTTGACTGTGTCACAACAATATATTCAAATAAAGTGTAAGCATTACCAAAAAAGATTCCTTTAAGAAAAGAAAAGTATATTAAAAGCGGTTAACACTATGTGTTGCCTCTCGTATCATACTCTTCTTTATGGTGGTGTTATTGTGACATTCAGTGTCTCCTCGCTGGCTGTAAACATCCAACATCAGAACAGTCCTGCTACTGTAAATAGAAGGGTGATGCCGACTAATCCTCCGCAGCAGGCCTCTGTCCATAAAAATACACATTCACGAGTTGGACTTAAAAGAAAACAGTAAATCCTTTTTTGGACAGGAAAAGCCTAACAGGTGAATCTTTAACAAATGCATTTCTACATTTCATTTGTCTCTGTTGACGTGTCCCTGGTTCTCCACACCCTTCTTTTTTTTTTTTCCTGCTTTGTCACCTTTGTGTTTTTATTTCATTAGAGATGCGTACACCATAACTGGTCCAGGCAGTAAAATGAACAATTATAAAATAGATTATGAAGCAGGAGGAATACCAGCTCTAAATTCACAGTACTGTTTGTTCTTTGAGTCAAAAATAAGTGATATGATGGAATAGTTCCAACAATATGAATTACAAATGCAAGTTTTTTTTAAAGTGCTTTGTTTTTCTGTTGCTGGTGATGAAAAGTCTTTGTTTATCAAGCCAAATCCTTCCGCTATCAATCAGTGGGAGTGTTTATTGAGTTCAGCTGGCCTACTTTAGGACTGCTTCCATGATCACACAGGGCAGAGCTCATGTTCTAAGATACATGGGCCAGTCTTATCTCATGTGATTCTCAGTTTCCGTGCCCCCGTCGTCCACGTGCGTGTTGTGGCTTTTTTTCTTTTCTTTGCCCCAACCCTGAGCCGACAAATTTATGTGGGAGCGTTTCCGTTGATCAGCAATCCACATAAAGCACAAGGATAGATAAGACATACCATAGCTTTTGTGTTATTATTTCATATTTATATTGTAGTTTTTTTTATGTTTATGTTGTAAAACATTGTCTCACTAGCTCACAAATGTGTGATAATGTCTCCAAACAGGACCTGAGACCCAGATTGACCCCTCTGGACTCTCTGCTGTGTGGAGCATTCGCTGGAGCTGTGGCCAAAACCGTCATTGCACCTCTGGACCGCACCAAGATCATTTTTCAAGGCAAGACAAACTCTCAGATCTAAGGTTTACACTTGGACGTTTTACACTTTCCTGTAGACTGAACTAATGTTTTGTGTCCGTACCAGAGTTTACACCTCAACTGTTGTGGACTAATCCTCTTAGTAGATGTTTAGCCTACATGAGACGGTGTGTCTCAACCCTGTGGTTCACTGTGCCTCTTGTTGTTTTTCAGTGTCTTCAAAGAGGTTCTCGGCAAAGGTGAGTTTATTTATCTCTCTTATCTGCAGAACAGGAACCGATAAGACACAGATTTTCATCACGTTATGTGTACCTGCAGTGATAAGCAGGGCAATTGACTGCTCAAGTACAAAACATACTGAAAGTTATGAACTCTTGCGTGACTGTTTATGCACACCGGAAGTTTATTTTTCAAGAATATTTGCTAAAATGTTAAAGGAAGTTCAATTTGAAGCAATAAGTAACAGTTTATAGATTCATAATGAAACAGTGAATGCTTCTATTTTTTCCCCACTTCTTTACTTATCTAGCCTTACAAAAGCTTTAACATTTGTACCTTTCATACAAAGTTGTGTTTGAATATATTCAAGCACAACTTTTGTGTTATCCAACACAAAGGTGTTGGATAATTCTGAAGTGGAAGAAAAAAAAAAGAATGCATAAATTTAAGAAGTATTTACAAATAAAAACGTGAAAACTGCTCTGTTCACTGCAATTTGGTTTCCAGTTTTTAACAACTTTGCGCATCAAGACGCTCAACTTAATCACTTTTTCCTGACGTTGTTTTGGGGCAGAACTGTTTGTGACCACATGTTAACAAAGGTTCTTTACAAACCTTATTATGTAACGGCAAAATATCAGACGTGCTAAGCGGATAACGCGTCGAATGTTACGTTGTGCTGCAGGAGGCCTTCAGGGTGATCTACTGCACGTACATGAAGGATGGATTCCTCAGTCTGTGGAGGGGGAACTCTGCCACCATGGTGCGGGTCATGCCCTACGCTGCCATCCAGTTTTGCTCACACGAGCAATACAAGAAACTCCTGGGGGGCTACTATGGCTTCCAGGGCAAGTGAGTAAAGACTTAAAGTATTTTTTTATTGTGATGTTTTCATGTTTTAAGTCACACGATGGCACAAACCTTGTGAAAACGTACAGCTTCAGCCGAGTCAGCATGACTGTAGCGACCGGGATGTTAGCATTTAGCTTATACCAGCATGCTTGTAGCTGTGTGGGATTTACTTTATGTTCTTTTAAGTGTGCTTAAAGTCAACTGCTTTTTATTTCAGAGCGCTGCCTCCTTTCCCACGGCTACTGGCGGGTTCTCTGGCCGGTACGACCGCCGCCATGCTAACTTACCCCTTGGACATGGTCCGAGCCAGGATGGCTGTCACTGCTAAAGAAATGTAAGGACCTCCAGAGTTAAGCTCGTCTCTAGCAGAGGACGAATTTGTCCGATTTTTATAATGATCAGTTAGTCATTCCTGGAAAAACGGTCAACACCGTTCAGTATACGGGCCATTTCTGACAGGGTTGGGTATGTTAGGGATCCAAATGATTGCATTATTGATCTGAATGCTGGGCGTTTAGGATCATATGGTGTACCCTCTCTCAGATAATGTCTGGTTTGTTCGTTATTTTGAACCAAGTTTCTTTATCACGTAATTATATTTTTTGAGTCATTAATAAACTTTTTTTTTTTTAAACTTTTGGTTTAGATCCACACTCAACATTTATTGACTTTGGATATAAAATGGGGTGTTCTGCAGATTTCTTCCATCTAGGGACCCTTCATTTCATTTACGTCTCTTCCTTTTAAAGGAGTTAGATTTTTCCTGTAGCTTTGAAGTGATCACCATGTGTAGACTTCCAGAGTTCATGACGTGATCAGATAATTTATAGCTTAATTAAACATAAAGTAACTCATGCATTCAGTGCTGTATATCTTTAGGANA